CGGACCACTTTGATTCAAACTAATGAGTGAACAAAGAGCAGATGAGTCAGCAGACCGACAACGCCCAGCTACAATCCAGCCGAGTGCTGTAGCTTGCAAAGTCGGCGACTCACTGGTTCCTTTAATTTGGCCTTCTCTTAATAGGTCAAAGAATACATCTGCGCCAAGAAGCAAATCAATGCGTTGCGGCCTGTGAAACTGAGGATCTGCTAGTTCCAGATCTTTTGGCACGTCAACGTTGACAATTACCTTTTCAGGCTGGTATGACGAAATAGTGCAATTGACGTGTGCACAATGTGACGCACTGCAGATTTGCATTTACCAATGCCAAGCAAATTAATATCTTTTCACTCCTTTTTAAGCTGCAAAGTTTTGGCTAGCTCCTCTGTCATGAAATTAATTTGGGACCCTGAGTCGAGTAAAGCCCTGGCAAAGTGGTAGGAGCCAGTATGACTTGGTAGCCAGTATGACTTGGTCAGAAACGCTCGTGGCGTGATTAACAGCCGAAGTTTGGACTGGCGTTTCAGCTTGCGCCACAAATGATTGGCTGGCAGTTGCAGCTTGCGCTGAGTCGACAGAATATTTATGCAAAAGTGTGTGATGTGGTTTCGAACACACTCTGCATGTAGTCGATTTGCATGCCTTTGTTGTGTGACCTTTCCTTAGGCAGTTTATGCACAAAGGGCACATTTTCACGAACTTAAATCGTTCGTCGCGGTTAAGTGCTGCGAATTGAGTACACGAATGTATAAAATGGTCAATCGCTTGACAGAACAAACACTTCGGACTCGGTGGCGGACTGGCTTGTGCAACTGCCAGTGCTATTTTGCCACCTTTCTTTGACGCATCAAAATTTTGTTTTTGAGTCCGGGAGCGACCAGAAGATGATTCCACAGCAGATAAGTGCTGGTAGCGTCTGTTGAGAGAGGCCTCGCAATCTTCCCAAGACGGAAGTTTGCTATAGTCGAGGCTCTCTTCCCACTTTGAACGAGTATTGGGATCAACTTTACTCATGACCAAGTGTATGAGCATGACGTTAGAAATTTGTTTGTCATTGCCTAAGGAGAGCAGTGACTCGTAGCTAGCGCGAACGTTATCAATCAACGAACGCAAAGAACTAGCAGACGAGCCTTGCATTTTCGGAAGGTCAAATAGTTTGGCAATGCTATCAAATACGATAAGACAGCTGTTATCGTAAACGCGCTTCAAAGCTGCCAGTGCCTTTGGATAATTTTCCTCGGTAACTTGATAAGCCTTGACCGTTCCTAGTGCTTCTTTCTCTAAGCATGACAGCAAATGGTTAAACTTTTCAATATTTGAAAGTGATGCGTCACTATCCACTAAATTTTCAAACAGCCCAATGAAATTTTTATAATCCGAATAGCTACCACCAAACCGTGGCAACTTCATTGAAGGCAACTGTTTGCTATGCGAGGATCCAAATATTGTGGAATTTATTACGCTGTCCCTATGAGGCTTTGGCCGTCCGCCTTTGCTCATCAAAAGCGCCTTAGTTGAGACGCAGAGAAACTCCAAATCTGCCCTTGAGACTAAGGCCGGATCAATTCTATCTAATTCTTCCTGTAGGTCAAAGGCTTTATCAATGTACCGGGACAAAATTTCCAATCGGCACTCAACTTCAATAGGCTCGATACTACCAGAAGTTGTCTGAATAGAACTTTTTATTCGTTCGATATCGCGAACGACATTGGCATGTGACTGAAGCAAGCAGTCAAATTTATTTGAGACAGAGTCATCTAATGCCCTGCTTCGGTTTTGCTTGCTTCTTTTGCCAGGCATATTTAAAAATAAAAGGTATGCAAAAGGCTGTAAGAAAGTATTTCAATTGTAGTACAGTGGTACTATATTGCTAGCCTTTGCTGTTCTGCTAAACGAAAGTGTTTATGTTGTTGTTTATGTGTGCACTGCAGCTGGCGCCCACAAACAAATAGCGTACCAAACGCTTAAGTTACCAAAACAGCGAACTGTCCAGCTGATCTCTGCCAACGCCGACAGCGAAGTCGACGACGAATGCAAGCTACACGATAGCAGCGAGCCAGTAGTGCACCAACGATATGGGCACCGAAGCAAAGAGAGCGGGAGAGAATCAGCGATATGCGGACGAGCCAACGCTGCTGCGGTGTGACAGCAGCACAACAACAATATCGAAACGAACAAATTAGCAGAACGGAAAGCCAAACCAAAACTGCCTAAATCAGTGCACGCAAACGCAGTCTCGCCTGTTGCTTATATATGTACATACAACTGTAATTTTCCTACTGCACTTGTACCTGTATGTACCTAAGTACAACGGCCGCTAGCAACGGCTTGACCAGTGCAGTGAGAAAGCAAGTACGAAGAAATTAAGCAACGGCGATTTAGCGCAGTGCAGTGACCTTTTACATACACTGATTTGGCGCGACAAATTCTAACCAACGTTTGGTTATGTGCGTAAGGATTTATACATATGTACGAGCATGTACATATGTATGTAAGTATGTACAAGAAAGCAAGAACTAAATAAATGCAATTGTCTACGCGAATATATGTATGTATGTTTTTTCACTTTATTTATTTTATAAAGCTCCAATAGCTATGCGTTAGTAACTATATTTCTTTAAGTAAGATGCCGACTGCCAAATAAATCACGGTCCACTCCTTGCTAAATTTACAAATGAGTATTTGCATATAAATTTGTGCTTATAAGTTAGTTTGTGAATTACACAAATTTATATGTGTACATATATTGCACTTGTATGTATGTATGTACAAACTTGGCGTTTAAATATACACGCAAGTCGACGATTGTGGCCGCAATTTATTCTTCGCACTCGTTACCTGATGTAAACTTCCCTGAAAATTGTGGCAATTCATCGATTGGGAGTGTATGCCAAATGTCCAATTGTCCAGGAAAGTACCGCCAATAATCTCGCGCAAATCGAAGATACCAGTAGGACGACGGTAATCGCAAGTCGAAAGCCGATGTGAGGTCCAACGAGGGAGTAGACTCCAGTAGTCCACCCGGGGGCGCCAAAATGTTCAGCTAAAGCTGGAAACTTGCCGGTATGGCAAAAGCTAAGGTCCAATGTATTTGATTTACTTCCAAATGAAGTAAATCTCACGATAATGGCAGACTGCTTTTGGCTCGCACTGGATATTAAAAAATTGCAAAGAAAAGCGAACTGCACAGTCTGAACTCGATTTGCTAAGTAAGTTTATTTTATCGTTTATGCTCGCTCTCATGCGCGTGTGGAACGCATTGAGAGACAGCGCGAGAGAGCAACATATGTGCATAGAACTTACATAGCTGTAAACAGACAGCGCCTAACAATTACATATATATGTGTGCAAACAATTCTTTTTTTTTAAATCTAAACTTCAATATTCTTAATAGCTAATGCAATTCTTAAAACTATGAAATGACCAAACAACCTGCATGATGATTTTCGAAATGCAAGGCGTGAACGAAAAGAGTTAGAAGACGCGAATTTCGTGGCATTAGGAAAGGAAATTTTGCGTCGTACGGCAGAGAAGCGTTAAGCAGTCGTTCACCTACTCACACAAGTTGCAAGCCAACTCCGTTTTGTTCGTACTGATGCAAGAACGCACTTAAACGCTGATATTTCGGTTGCACCAATTAGGATGCCCTGTTTTTGGGGCATAAACCTCCAAATTTGATGTAATAAAACTCGTAAAAATGATAATTTTCCCAAATTACATATTAACTAAATGAAATTCAAAAAAAACAGAAGTATAACGGCAATCCTACATTGTTGGCGGCCTTTGAAAGTCAGCAGTATGATCAACTTCTTACTTTGCTGAAATTGGCGCGAATTAGTTTGTAATATTTAATATTTATTTATTTACTATATAATATTTCTCTTCCGACACTCTCTAAGGTCTAAAGAGTTCATTTTCCAAATAGCAAGTATAGTACAATAACTACTATGTATGTTTATACGTACATACATACATGCACACATAAGTATATACATAACTTCATTACGCGCTCTCAGTCCTCACTTATCTGTGCGCTTCCTCAGCACGATGCACTCACTGTCGAGTTATCCGAAAAAAAACGGGACTGAGCCTGTCTCGTGCGGGACACTTAATTTTGATTTAAAAATCGGGACGTCCCGCCGAAATCGGGATGTCCGCCAACGCTGATATGTACATACATTATATTTTCATGCAGGCGCTTTCTATCCTCATACGCATGTACATACATATAAGTGTATGTATTCAATTTTACAGTTCAACACTTATCAACATGTGTTTATACTCTGTACATAAAATGTACAAGAGTATACTTGTATTAGGTTTGCGCGGGCTGAAAAATGTAACAGGTAGAAGGCGTGGCAGACCCCTCAAAGTATATATATTCTTGACCAGCTTGACAAGACAGTCGATCTAGCTCTGTCTGTCTGTCCGTATGAATACCTGGATTTCAGAGACTATAAAAGCCAGAGACACAAAATTTTGCACAAAGATGCCTGTTGGTGTTCATATATGCCCCAAAGCGCTGAAATTCATCGTACTGTCAGTGTCACACGCACTTGACCGTATCATGAGCTACGCATGGGCCACGCATGTGCATATGAAGTCAACGCAGGCAGCTATTCTTAGCTATTGTTAGAATAGCGGCCGCGCATGTGCACAAAACAACAACCAACCGGGTGCCACGTCTACCTACACCTACGCTGGATATGCACGCACCGACTCAGCTAGCTGCATACAACACCCCAGCAACGATTTATTTTAAGAATCACTTATTAGTAATAATTAGACTTACGCACATTCTCAATTTTGTATATAAACCCCTGCATTTCAATCAATAAACAAACAGAAAAACAAGAACACTCGTGCAGCTCTGATCTCACATTCCCTTTCAGCTCCTCCGAATTACACTTGGTTCAAGTACCGATTGTAAAATACTCAGCTACTAGTTTATTACTAGGGGTGTAGTATTAAGTATTAAGTATTAGTGAAATGTCTAGTATATTTAAGTGTCAAGGGCTCTGGTGTAATGGAGATAAGGTTGTAAGGCCACACTTAAAGAAAGAGCGGCACAATAAAATAAGATTGAAAAGATTGAAGATCGGCCACAATTATTCAGAAGTGGGATCAACCTAAAATATCGCCGACAAAGTGAACAATTTTTATATTTGTTAATTAACACATAGAACAATGCAAGAGATATGTGCCGATGAGTTTTCAACGTCTGTGCGTTTAAGTGAAATTCCAACTGAATTCCGCGGCGAGTGTCCATCAAGAGAACATGCTGCAGCGGCGCTCCAAAAAATGCAAAGAGGGTCGCTAGATGGTACGGACGAGCAAGAAGTGGGTCCTGGCGACGGCGGTGGTGGCGCCGAAGATCCGTGCAGGGCAATTGAAACACGTGACGATGGGCGTAGTGCAGACGGCGATAATGGCCAGGGTAGAGCAGAGAACGAACTGAACATGCTAAAACTACAGTTAGATATGCTGAAGCTCGAAAATGCAATGCTAAAAAAGAACGAGAAAGAGAGAGAAAAGAGAAATGAAACACACGAGGCCGCGGGCTTAATCATCAAATCAGGCAACATGTTGATAAATGTTGTTAAAGACATGTTGCCAGCGTTTGATGGGAAGAGCCCTGTAAACATTTGGGTTGCGCAACTGAAGTCTGTGGCCGCTGTTTATGAACTTGACGACATGTTGCGAATGCTGCTAATGGCGAAGCTGAGAGATGGCGACCAAATGTGGCTGCATGGTAACACAAAACACCTGATCATGCCCATGAACGAGCTACTGGAACTAATGTTGACGACGTCGAAAGTTCCAAGCGCGCAAGTATAAGACAGGTGAAGAATTTCTTGAGTATTTCAACGAAAAAATGCTGCTAGGTTCGCTTATCAGCATCGATGAGGATGAATTAACAGAGACTATAATAGAAGGGATACCAGATGAACAACTACGGCGCCAAGCCCAAATCCAGGGTTTTGCGCAGGCATCACAAGTCCTACATGCATTTAGGACCATAAAGCTGTCGGGACACAAGCCGGAACGTTGGATCAAGACTGCAGAACAGAAATCTGGTACAATGGCGGTGCGCTGCTTCAACTGCAATTCACTGGGCCATTTTGCTTTGGAGTGCCTGAAGACAAAGCGGGAACGCGGAGCCTGCTATGGATGTGGAAGTATGGACCACCAGATCTCCCATTGCACAGAAAATAAACGTGCAAGTCATGAATATGTAAGATATTTTAGTATTTATATTAAACATTTTAATGACCAGTCCCTGTTTGTAGAATGTCTCATCGATTCGGGGAGCCCAATAAGCTTTGTGAAAATTTCGTGCCTGGAAAGGAGTATTGACAATGAAGTTTATAAATGTAATTTTGAAAAATTGTTAAAACGTTGTTTTGGTCCACAAATAGATGAAGGATATGTTTATTTTGGTTTAAATAAAAGTAGATTAAATGTTATTGCAAAAATTAAGTGCTATGTTGTGTTCAGCAATGAAAAGTATGATTTTGAAATGTATGTTGTGCCAAACGAATCGATGGGATATGAGGCAGTACTGGGAAGAAATTTCATGAAAATATGTAAATTCGAAATAGTAAACAATATTGCTACAGATAATTTTGTAAACATTGACCAAATGGAAAGTATGCTTGGTAAAAGTAGTGAAAATGAATTTAGTGACGTGATAAAGAAAATTGGCACAAAAGGTCAACCAGTGGGCAGCAGCCACGTGGATAAAAGTACCCCAGATAGTGAGGATGGCGTAGGTGAGGGCTTGACATCTAACGGCTTGGAAAATGTAAATTTAGAAACTGTAAATTTAGGAAGCAAAAGTTCTAAAGTGGATGTACAAAAAGGCAAGATAGGAAATGCGAAGCTACAAAAAATGAGTGTTGAAAATGACAGATTTAAGAATGAGTGGAGTATAAATGATTGTTCTATAAACAACAATTTAAACAAAAAAAGAAACCGATTTCAAACTATTAACAGGCACTAAAAAGTAAACAATAATTGCGTATTCTTCTACAACTTAATATTCAATATATAATGTAGATACAATTATTGTTATTTTTGGAGTCGGTGTCAGCGGTCGCGCGCCGCGCCAGTCAAGAGAAAGAGGCCCTTCATTACGAACCATTTCAGATTCTTTTCTCTTTCTATAACTACTACGTCATTCTTACGGTAATTCCTTGTGTTTAATGTTGACTATATTTTCGTAACAGCATTTCCTTGATTACCCGTATGTCTCAGCATAGTGTCGTATTAAAATTTGTTTGATTCGTTTAACTAGGTACCGGTTTATTTGTTGTTTCAAGGTAGCAGATATTGTCACAGTAGTTATACGTGTATTGTCGTATAAAAGTTAATTTGAAATTGGGTTTAATTAGGTATTGGTAATCTGTCACAGTATATTGTCGTTCGTATAAAAGTTAATTTGTAAAAAAAGTATTTCTTAAAGTATTCTCATATTATTACTGGTAGATTGATTGATTGATTGATATATTGTAGTGTTTCCTTGGCTGACACCAACTCCAAAAATAACAATAATTGTATCTACATTATATATTGAATATTAAGTTGTAGAAGAATACGCAATTATTTTTTACTTTTTAGTGTCTGTTAATAGTTTGAAATCGGTTTCTTTTTTTGTTTAAATTGTTGTTTATTTTTGGATTTTTAGTGAATGTGAAGTACACTAACTAATGTGTATGAATATGGGTAGACCTAATAAACGTGTTTCTCATATGAGACAGCGCCGCTTAAATGAAGCAAAAGAAGTCATGGAGAAACTCCTCTTTCAACAGAGGAGGTTTCATGTTCTTTTCATGTTCTAAAGAATTCGTCGTGGATATACAAAGACTAAATCGAGCACTCTTGTTCTCAATATATTTTGTCGAAAACGTTCATCACGCTATCTGTCTGTCGTCTGCGAATATCTTCTGTTCTGATTTGTTGAGTTGCGGCTCTTGTTGCAGTTTGTTCTTCTGACTTTTGAGCTTTTAAAACGCTGGGGTCGTGTATTTTTGCTACACGCATTGTTAGGGTTAGATTTTTTCGACGGCATTATACTGAAATTGAAATTCTATTTCACATGATATCTCATTTAAATTTGACACTCATCTACCGGGTGCCTTCGCATGATATCTAAAACCCATGAACATTTTGTATGTTTTAAGAATTATATGGATTTATCATGGATGCCATTGTCAGAATTGGACTAAATTGAAATGGGACCACATGGGAATCATCAGCTTTCAAATACAAAGGGAATAATCAAAATCGGTTTACACAGTCGAAAGTTCTGAGGTAGCAATGAAAAATACAGTCGAATTGAGAACGTCCTCGTTTGCAGAACCTAACCAAACTCTCATCAAAGTACCCTTAAAGTACATCCTTTCCAATAAAAAAAGAATCATAGAAATCGGTTATCGTGATATAAAGTTATTCGTTCATTTGCCTTGCACATACTTAATACAAATTTAAGACTTATGCTGTTTTCTCATGGATGCCATTGTCAGAACTGGACTAAACAGTCAGTGCCTTTTGAAGTAATACATATTGATCACTTTGGACCAGTTGATAAAGGTAGAGCAAATAAGTACATACTGGTAATAATAGACGCTTTCACGAAGTTTGATAGACTTTATGCCACAAAAACGACGATTACTAAAGAAGTGGTTAAATCACTGCAGGATTATTTCACAGCTTAGCTGCCAAGCCAAGCTGTATAGTCTCCGATCGGGGTAGCGCCTTTACGTCAAATAATTTTGAAAACTTCTTAGAGCAGAACGGCGTTAAACATGTGATGGTAGCTACAGGTTCACCACAGGCAAATGGACAAGTTGAGAGAGTTAACAGAGGGTTGGGACCGATGATTGCCAAGTTGGTGAATCCTGATAAAAACCTACATTGGGATACAGTCCTACAAACAGTTGAGTTTACACTCAACAACACTATTCAATGAACAATTAATCAACACCCGAGCAGAATGCTGTTTGGAATTTCACAGAAAGGGGAAGTATCAGACGTGTTGAGGGATAAGTTAGAGGAGTTGAACGATACGCGACTAAAAAGAGAGTTAACTAACTAGTAACTAGAGTACTACGTAATAACAGATATGTGCTAGAAGATACTGAAGGGTTTCAGCAGTCAAGAATTCCATATAAAGGGGTTTGGGCAGTGGCAAATATGCGCCCGTGGTTGGACCTCAAGAAGCAAGACAGTCAAAAATTGTGTCAATGGCAAGATGAAATTAATGAATAGAGAAAAAATTTTTTACATACTTTCTATTTGGAAAAATAATGATATTTAAGAAAAGAAAAAAAACAATTTTTATAGCCTGTACCCAAAGGGTGAAAGGCTATACTAGTTTTGTGCGCATGTATGTAAAACACAGAAGGAGGCGTGGCAGACCCCACAAAGTATATATATTCTTGATCAGGATGAGAAGACGAGTCGATATAGCCATGTCCGTCTGACCGTCTGTCCGTCTGTCTGTATGAGTGCAAGGATCTCAGTAAGTACAAGAGCTAGGATAACCAAAATTGGTATCAAGGTTCCTATAAGCCCTAGGCAGAACGAGTTTGTTTATTTTTTCTGATACACCCCCCCCACTCCCCCGCAATTCGTATTTTTTCTTATAACTTCCGTAATTCTCGGAATTTAAAAATCAATTTTGGTAGATACATCCAGTTAGTACTAATGTGTCCGTGTGCCAAATTTCATCATGATAGGTTAATTCTGAAGAAAGTTATAGCCATAAGTAAAATCGCTGCTCATGCGCTGCCTGCAGCTCTGTCGGCAGCGCTGCCCGCAGCTGTTGTTGTTGTTGCTGCTTTTGTTCAACTTTGTGCTGCATACATACACGCATATGAACACGCATAGGTACGTGATGTAAATGCTGTTTAAACTGAACATAAACATGTATTCTAATTTAATTAAATTAATTATTTTAATTAATTAATTCATTCATTTTTTTTAATAATTTAATTTTTTAAAATTTTTTTTTTTTAATTTTTTCTTTTTGTGGAGAGTACAGGCTATTTTACTGTCGGGCTTGCTCGACTGTAGCGTTCTATCTTGTTTTAAATACAGATTTGAAAAATTGCAACGTATAGTTTAAGTTAAACAATGGATGCAGGAGCATCCTGGTCAGGATGGCCGAGTTGTAGTATTAAGTATATAAATAGTATAAGTGAAATTGATATTTTAGCATTAAGTATTAGTGAAATGTCTAGTATATTTAAGTGTCAAGGGCTCTGGTGTAATGGAGATAAGGTTGTAAGGTCACACTTAAAGAAAGAGCGGCACAATAAAATAAGATTGAAAACGAGTAACAACAATGCCTTATGTGTGTACGCTGTGCAAGTTTGTTTTATTTTTTTTGGATTTTCCCCCCACTTCGCCCTATTTTCCATTCGCATGATTATACGCCTATATCTCAGACTAAAGAACTAGGGACTCCAAATGTCCCAGATGTCTTTATGTGTATACGCAGAAAATGTGTATTTTGGAATTTCCCTCTCTCATTGCCATCCTGGCGCTACCCGCAGCTGTTGCTGATGTTGGTGCTTTAGTTGACTGCAAACATACTCACACAGCCACGAAAAGACACGCATAGATACGCATGCAAGTTAAAAAGTAACCCTCGCACCTAATTAATAGCGGCCCTTGCACGCGCTGGCACATACAATTCTTGAGTTCAGCGCCTTAGCTGCGGTAACCTGATGGTCTTGCTGCAATTATGCTGAGTCGGCGTTTTATTTAGAATTAAGCTTTTCAATTATTGTCTTTAGCTTAAGCTGCACCAAATTTGGATTCTTGTATTCAGTTCTGTATCAGCGTATAGCAAGTGTAATACCTAAAAAATACATTGCTCCGGCATCGCCGTAAAGTATACCGTTTGTTTTATTGCTGCGCCACAAGGCCAGACATTGGAAAGCTTTGGCTGTCACAACGTATTATTTAAACGTGAACCGGCATCGTACCGCTTCCGGATTCTTCGGCATCCGCTTGTGACGCAGAATCCCGCTGCATCACAATTAGCGACAACCTCATCTTATCATTGTATTACTAGCCTAAGTTTATAAGTTGAATATTGCACATTGTTTTATTAGCCTACATTTCTATTATATTGCACAGTTGAATATTGCACATTGTATTACTAGCCTAAGTTTCTATTGCACAGTTGAATATTGCACATTGTATTACTAGCCTAAGTTTCTATTGCACACTTGAATATTGCACATTGTTATGTTACTCTAAGACTAAACAGGAACACATGAAGTTAAATATTTGGTTATCATTAGTATATTGCGCATTATCCATTTCTATAATTGTCATGAAGGACCGGTATTATTTGAATTTGTACAACGAGAGGTATTTTATAAGAATTGTAAATAGAGAAAGAACAGGCGGGCTGGCATCACCGCCCACGCAGAGAGAGTTTTTGGATAAGTAGCGAAAAGGGATGCAAGAAAAACGAGGTTATAAGGGCGAGCAAAAATGTAAGCTCGCTCTCTTCTCCAGTGACCACAGCAGCGAATAGACGTGCGAGTACCAGCCGCAAAGCCTTACACGATCAAATAAAATCCATGTAAGTTCAAAGCATCCTGGTGTTAAATTTGTGTAGCATAGGGCCGGC